TTAGCATAACCTTTAATTAAGGTTCCATAGGTGACAATATTAGGCTCAAAACCATCTTGTATCAATCTTTTGAAAAATTTCTCAGCACCCTCCATATCAGATGCATTGACATAAGCTGATAACATGGTAGTGTATGAGCAAAGATCTGGAAAGTATCTGCGTGGGAAAAGTACAATGATACGAGGAGAATGCTTAGTGTTTTACAGTAAAAAATAACATCCACAGTAACATATTCTCAAATTCTAATTTATTTTGTACATGAATTTTAATAGTGTGTTTGGATTTAAGCAAACACTATCTGCCCATTCATCTTAATCCATCAAGGGACAAGCTTTTCCATTTGGGCTCATTGGAATGTGTGACAGTTCATAAAAAAAATGTATGTTGTTTATTTCTGATCAAGCCTAAAACCATTATCCATTACTTAACTCCTGTATAAGTCTCTAAACTATGCCACGGGTTACTTTCGCGCATGATCTCATTCTGTCCCTGGCTTTACAAAAAGTTGTTCACTTTAGTCCTTAAATTTTATCGTTAATGAAAATTGAAGTAAATAAAGGCTAAAGTAAATGACTTTTTGCGAAACCTGACTAAAAAAGGATTTAAAGAAATCAGAATCTAAAGCAATTGAATGACACTTTCATTTCAATCCAGTTTGGGAATTCACTCACTAGCCATCATTGATATCTGGCCTTTCAGACGATCTGTGCTTTCATGGAGAAAAGATATTTTGCATGAATTTAATTTTTGTTTCTTATATACTCTTGAGATCCTTCTTAATCGGTAGTGGAACAACAGTATATGGGATATACTGTTGTGTTTTTTCCTCCTCAATGATTACATAAAAAAGTGGGGAAAATTGGGAGGGCCATGGGTCTAAGTCTATTTTTAATTTTACTTGGCTGTTGATTGTGTTTTTAATTTTGTATATTGCCTCACATCTCTTATTCCCTCTTTGTTTTTTCCATTGAATGTGTTTATCTCCCCAGGAAAAGAAGAAAAGAACTAGTACCCCAATAATTCTCTCTTTTTTATGGACTCCGAGTGAGACTAGAGAAAATATTAGGTGAGGGAAAAAAGGCAAGACGGGGAAGAAGGAATAGAAGAAGAATCACTTATATATCTTCTGCTTAAGTTTTGGTATAGTCTGCCAACCTTATTTGTAAATTTCATTTTAGTCCTACATTTGCTCAAAGTTACAGCTCTTAGAGATGTTTAAATGTCAACTCCGACTAAATTACCAGAAAGAATCAATGCCCCTAAGAAGTTTCCATAAGTGGTGAAACAAATTTGAGAAAAAAAAATGGAACAGAAAAATAAGTTGGAGGACCAAATAGATACAAAAAAAATTACATGACTAATTTGATATAGAAAAACAACCATAGAAAACGAAAAATGTATAATTGTTTGTCAAATATACACTGAAGAAGAAAGGAAATACTACTGACCTATCCCTTCTCATACTCTTAAACACCGTCCGAGCCTGCTCTACCATTCCCGATATAGAAAATGCATCAAGCAATATATTGTAAGCCTTCCGAGTTGGCCTGTGGAAAGCAAGAGAATGTGGTAACTTTTATAATAGTAATAAAAATAATAACCATTTAGCAGATAAAAAACAATAATCCACGGACACTATACCAGTCCGCAATACACTAATTCTTAAAAAATAAGGTAGGATATGTAATAAAAAGATAAATTAAGAATATATTTCCTAAACATTAATAAATATAAAATAGAAATTCTAATTATTGCTAAACATATACTTCTTATTTTTTAACCATCATTCTTTTTAGATTATCATTTTTACTACTATATGACATAATAAATATGTATAAAATAAGTTAATCCCTAATCAGCCTCTCTTCCTGAGTTTCCTGAGCGTTTCTCCCTATGTTTGAATTCTTCTTTGAAGAAGGTGCATATAAATTTAATTGTATCTTATTTTCAAAAATCATAAATTGACTGGTGTTTGATTTGTATCTGGCAGTTCATTCTCATTTTGTAAGTAACATACCTAAGGATATAATTTAGATACATGAAAAGTATCAGAATGTATTGGTATTCAGATCTGACATGGGAGGAAAACTCACATATCGGAGCATCAGGAAAAAAAAAAAACAGTAACTAATAAAAAAACTATTTGTAAATATGGGAAAAAAATGGTAGCCAACTTAATAAAAAAAAATTGAAGGAAAAAAACTATTTGTATAAGAACAAAAGATATGAGTTGGGGTTGACATAGTAAATATGGGAATTTAAACAAGACATCCTGATGTTTAGGTGGTAGATATTAAGCTTGAAATAGTAATTGCAATATAGGAGTTTGAATAATAACAAAGTTGATAATAACTTCAATTATTCAGGTTGCTATTCATTCTTCGCATTAATAGTTTTAATCCATGACATACCTGACACCGGCATCAAGCATTTCCTCAAATACAGCTAATGCTTCTTCCTCCCTCCGGCCCTTCCCATATGCACTTACGAGTAACGCATAGCTCACAACGTCAGGACTGAGATCAGCTCTTTGCATCTAAAATTAGGCATTCACTTCAAAATCTGATGAATTAATTATAAGCAAGAAATTAAAGGGAGGACAGAGAAACAAGATGAAAGCTAATGGAAAGTCTTGATTGAATAAATTATCTGTTCACGAAAGTGTTGACAATGGTAGTGCTTCGTGTGTGCAAGGACTTAATTTCAACATTCTCATAATTTAATAAAATTGTGACTGAACTAGCATGAAAAAAGGTTTGCAAACCATAACAGATTTCCAACAATCTACTTGTAGGAATTAAATCTACAAATCCTCTATATGGAGAAAGGTGAGACGATTTGTACCTATGGAACAAAAATACAAAGCCAGGACTGTCGAAAATTGAGTCTATATTTAAGAAGTATGAATTACCTTTACGTAGAAGGAGATTTAGAATTTCATTGAAGTACCTAAACATGTTACTGTTGATGTAGAGTATGACAAGACCATATTTGTTACACAAGTTAGTGAAAACCAGTTTCTTTCTTTTGGAAATGATAAAAATATAATGATGTTAAAGTATTATGATTGTTCAGCCCTTCAGAAAAGTATGTTGTCTGGGATAAACATGCACAAAATACAACGGAGATAAAACCATAGATTGTATAAAAGATAGACATTTAACTTTACCTGATCATATATGTTTGAAACTTCCTTGTAATTTGTTTCAAATGACATCAAGCTATTATATGTTACTGTAGATTGTTCAATTCCTCGTTCAGCCATCAGTGCAAATGTCTTACGGGCCTTTTCATAACTTCCAGCCTTTTTGAACATATAAATCATCATGTTAAACATCTTCTGGTCTGGTTTCAAAGGCGAGTTTTCATCATTCAGTAAATTGTCAAATACTTCTTCAGCTTCTTTAAACTTGTTCCCCTGTAAGTGAATCAATATAAATGTAAAACTGAAAGTCAAGAGACTCTAGCAGTCTGTAAAATATTTAAGAAATGTACACGGATTTCAATATAGTTATCACATTAACATGGGAGATGTGTCAGGGTTAACAATCATCGTAATTGGAACAATTATCATAACCTGTTAGTCCATCAACCTCCATGTTTAAACTCAAATAAGGGGCTGTGTTAGAGTTGAAAAGTCATCATCGCTGCCTCATTTACAACTTAGAATTCTACGGCAACACTGCACACATTCCTCAACAGAATCATAAAATTCGGTTTCCATCAAGGTGATTTATTAACTTTAAGAAGGTAGCCCGACAATATATTTGACTTTTATTCAAAATTTAGCTCAGGGGAACATACGTACAAGAACCACTACTACTGACCTTAACTGATAAGAGAAATTAATTTTAAAGTAAAAGTGTGTAGGATTAAATAATAAAGATGTATGCTCACTTGAACAAATGTTTTAAGTATTATTTGGTATGTTAAAGCAGAAGGTTCAGGACCCCATTTCTGCATCCTTCGGAATATCGCTTCAGCATTGTTATATCTGCCTCCTTTTCCATATGCTTCCATAAGTGCAGTCTGAGATACAACATTTGAAACATAACCATTCTTACTCATCAAAGCTAAAATCTTCTCCGCACCATTGAAGTCTCCCAGCTTCCCATATGCCGTGATAAGCATGAAATAATCCATCTTACCAAAATCCCACCAATTTTGAGTCCGAAGCCATTCAAGAATCTAAAGAATCACGTCATAAAGCAGTTACAACCGTTTACAATTAAAACCAAATAATCACACAACAAAGACCAGTTGAACTGTATACCTCAACGACAAGGTTCCACTTTTTGAGTTGTTTAAACCTAATCAAGGTACCAACAACAAGGTTTTTAGGAATACTATGGTTGTTAATCTTCTCAGAAGAGAGAACAGAAACAGCAGAACCGGACTCATCGATTTTAGTCATGACTCTCCTCCAATTCTTCTGGTCAGCTTCATCCGCAGCATCCTTGAAAACCTCCAATTTCCTCCTCCTCTGCATGAACTTCCTGGGTTTCAACATTCCCCGACACACCACCTCCATTTTCCCACTCATCCTCACTCTCGCAATTCCATTGCTACACACACAAAGCACAACACACTGAATCAGCGAACCATACATACACATAATAACATTAAACATTTGAAAATTGACTAAGCCTACCTTGTGCAAGTGGGTGGCAGAGGGAGTTGTGGGAAGTGACAGTGTGACTTCGAAATGAGACTACACATAATCAATCGATGAGGCTCGTTACCAGAAGAAGAAGATTATATTAAGGAGCAGGAGCAGAAAGTAGCTATAAATATGAAATAAATATATAAATATCTATTCTAATATCCGTATTCATTTCAAGGGCCGAGCTATTGTTTTTGGGTCAGGCCCAATAAAATGGGCCCGCCCAGTTATATAGAGCGAGATCTTCCTCAATCAGTTAGAGAGAGAAAAGAACGAAACCAGTGGAGACGAGAGGTTGCGTTGCGATTGACAACGACGAAGACGACGACGGCGACGAATGATGTCTTCCGACGGCGGCGGATTGAAGCCGTTTTTCTGTCACGTGTGCGACGAGAGGATCACGTGCACCGATGAGTCGGAACCTTTCTGCCCGATCTGTCTTCAAGGATTCGTGGAAGAATGGAACCCTGATAATCCAAACCCTAACCCTAATTTTATCCATGAGAGTGAGGTGGAATCTTGGGATCCCGAATTCCCGTTCAACTCCCTCTCCTTGCTACCTTTCATGATCAACACCGTTTCCAGGGTCCGACCCGAAACCGATATGTTCGACCCGATGACCTTCCTCCAGAACCACCTTCAGGGCCTTCGCGCCGACGGCGCCAACATCCAATTTTCCTTCGGCAATCCTTCGGACACGGGATTCCGCCTCTCGCCCAACATGGGTGACTACTACCTCGGCCCCGGTCTTGAGCAGCTGATTCAGCAGCTCGCTGACAATGACCCCAACCGTTACGGTACGCCACCCGCCGCCAAGGACGCCGTCGAGAATCTCCCCACAGTCACCGTTGACGACGAGTTGCTGAACTCGGAGCTGAACCAGTGCGCGGTCTGCCAGGACGAGTTCGAGAAGGGCACGCAGGTGACGCAGATGCCGTGCAAGCACGCGTACCACGCTGATTGCTTGATTCCTTGGCTTCGGCTGCATAACTCTTGCCCCGTTTGTCGGTATGAACTGCCCACGGATGACGCGGATTACGAGAATCGGACGCGGGGCAGTGGCGATGATGGTGGGTCGAGGTCTGATGGGAACGACGGGGGCGGTGGCACTGGAGGGGGAGGGGGTAATAATAGACCTATTCACAGAACTTTTAGAATATTTTTGCGGCCTCCTTTTGATGCAGGTGGTTCTGAGCAGGACAGTGCTGAAAGGGGATGGGAAAGTTGGGATTGAAATTTGTGTAAGTAGTTCTTGTTTGATTACTACTGGCTTTGTGTGTTTTGTTTGTTTTATATACTTTCGTTTGCTTGACTTTCATTAGTTTTACTTTGATTAGAGACACGTTAGGTTTTGATTACATATATAATTCAATGTTCTGGTTTTCAGTATAATTGACAATTGGTGGCATTGGAGTATGTGAGTTTTAGCTTGTTAAGTGCTTTGACTTTTTGTTGATTGTTCTGATACTCAATTTCGCTCGAGGTTAATTTCCGTGCGTTCTTTCTTACAGAGAGTGACAAGCCTTTGTGTTCTCGTGAACATAAAAATGCCTCCTTGTACTTCAGCCAATCTGTGAGCCATTGAGTTGGTTATCATTATTCTCGGTGTATTTTAAAAATTAATCTGTATATTCTCATTTTATGGTCATTTTTATATTGGGGGTGTTAATGATCGGAACTGCCTCTGAATAGTTTGTTAACTGTTTATATTCTGTATAGGGTCCATGTTTATAGCTCCTTTTCTCAATATGTTTATCTGAAATCGATTTATAATGCATCAATTGTAATGCGAACTCTTATTGAGAGCTTTGACCATAGAGCTGCTCGTCGCGCACTCTTACGAAAAAGAAGTGTTTTAAAGTTCTGAAAAACTATTTCGTTTACTTCTGGAATCTTGCACTTCTATGCAAAAAGGTTTTCCTTCTCCATTTTTAGTTAAGGCTGTGCTTCATAGAATGAAGTGGGGATGAAGAGAAATGTAAACAGAATATAGGCAATTGTAAGGAATTAAATGATTAATTGTTTCAAGTATGAAGATTCACTAATACTTTGCAACATCAGGGTGAGAGCGCATGGAATTATTTTCAACATAAGTCTCATTCAATTTGGGAGGGAATTTTTAAAAATACTGAATGAACTGTTCTTGTTCCCTTGGTAGGAAGATACATGGGAAATTTATCTACGGTCGAACTTTATTGGTTATCATTTCTGTCGTCATATTTTGCACTCTATGGAACAAGCTAATATATTGTTTGTTGGTTTTTAAATTCCGTAGCTGTATCATTGTTTCTGTCTAGTCTATACTGGGCCAAAAAAATGTTCCGAATTTGTGTCGATGTTTGGTTTTCAACTTTTATATTTGTGTATATTGATGGATAGTGCTGATAGTTAGTTTGTATCTGCAGGTATTGTTTCGTGTTAAAAAAGACTGGAAACTATCTTGTGCAGCTCAGTTTCTGTTGATAGATTACTATCATTGCCATGTTTACATAAGTCCGTGTGAGGATTGTAAGAGATGTTATTTCTCGTGGCCAGGAACTTTGTTCGATCAACGGCCTTTCTTTTTTTGTAGTGGATAGCTGGAACGAGGGATTGCATGAAAGCTCACAAATATTGAGACTTTAGGTACTGTGTCTTTTTTGTACAGATCATCTATCAAACATCCAATATTGATTATCCTTTTATGCAATTTATGCTCATGCTCTATATTTCTCTTATCTGTTGCGTGTACAAAACGTTTTCATTTCGAATTTATTATTTTAACCCGTTTAGAAAAGGCTTTGCCTGTTAGCCTCTAGCTTACCAGCCCAATTACATGTAGGCCTTCATAAATAGACCTTCCAATAGGCTTTTCTTAAGTCAAGACAGAATAAAATAAAATACTCATCTCGATCTTAATATTCAGTCTTAATATTCAGTAGGCTTTGCTGAATTAATTTGATTGGTCAATTTTATGTTAGATAGGTACGTCCGTGTAACTAAATTTATAGACAAAAAAGTTTTATGGGGAGATTGAAATCTCCAAATCATATGAAACATATTTTATTTGTAAGATAAGTAAGTATCTGACTATTTGATCTACCAGCAAAGTTATAACTTTACAGTTTGGGTAAGATTAACTTCCTTGCACATTTAGAACCCTCATTTAACAGCTACATTTAACTCTGTTCGTTATAACTTTACAGTTCTTTTTTTCAGGGAATTAATTAACTTAAATAAAAATACTCCCGTCACATTGCGTCAAGAAAAACTATTATTGTGGTAAAGTTTGTTTTTCATTCAATTGACTTAAGTATAATGCTCACGCCCCGTTGTATCAAAAGGCCAATCTAACATAATTGTTTATATATGTTATGTTATTTTTAGTTTATTGGCTTAAAATAATAATCCATCTTATAACTAAACTAAATAATGAAATAAAGAATAATTTTTTAATTTTACTTTTAAAAAATCAATCTAATAGTTAGAATTTTATAATTATTTTCATTTATTTTCTGAGGTGTTATTATTATCGTAAAATAAATGATGAAAAAAATAAAACTCTAATCTTCTCTCTCTATATATATATACATATATATATATATATATATATATATATATATATATTGATTTATTTATTTATTTATATATTTAAATTTTGTTAGATTGGCATAAAAGCAATGGTTCTCACGAACAAAATTTATACACTTTTTTTATCCACTATACAAATTTACAACTTATTCAATAATAAATATTTATTTTCTTTTTTGTGAGAATAAAGAAACTGAATCATTTGGGCCACATAAACCCACGAACTAGATGTAGTCTAAATGCCGTTAACAATCTATTGGACGCGCTCAAATATGTTGCACCGTTGCCCCACAAGAACTGGTACTTAATCGAATTTGCATTTCTTTAACAAAAACTGATTTAGCAATAACACTAATATTAAGTTGACTTGTACGATAATTGAACAACCTGGCCTATTATTTTATTGAACTTGGAGTAATCAACTCCTGTTCTGAAGCGTGCTGAACAAAGTTTGAGTCGTGCTCTTCTTTTCTATCTTTTTCAGTAGAGGCAAGGTTAATCAGGTCCCAAACAAGAAAAAGCATGAACAGAACTGTTATCTTTATGCCCTTTTGGGGCTTTTTGCAGGTGCTATTTTAAGCTCATGCATTTGTGGGACTCCCGGGAATTTTAAGACAGAAAATGGTCGCAACCGTAATGGGCAAACTTGGCGAGTTCAGCCTCCTACTTGTACAATATCATGGTAATATTACCAGCATTATTTCATCTCACATTCAGTATATACAAGCATGCTTATATCTTTCTATATGACTGCAGAAACATCACTCAACAGAACAATACCAAAAACCATTGACCATAGCTTCCTTATTCTTGCAATCAAGTTTATGCACTATCTATTGTCGAGGCATACAAGTCATCTGCACCTTTTGCACTGATCCTGCCATTTTGGGTGACATTTACACTTTACACCTAGCTCCTACATGTCAAGTGAATGTAGCTGAGGTTAAAGAGATATCAAAAACTCATACTTGCATCCAAAATAAGCAATTCCTTACTCTAATCTTCTCATAGGCATCGAACTTGCAGCATGTAGACACATAGTATTAAAAAAATCTTCTAATAATATCAGTATAAAAAAGTATATATAATATGCAACATGTGGACACGTAGTACATAATATGGGGTGAGAGAGGCCCGAACTATCGACCTCAAGATCAATCAAAGCTATGAGACCTACGCAATAGCCAACTGCGCCATAATGTGTTGATTTAAAATGTTTAATTTTGTTATTAATATTATAACTTACGTTTTAATATTAAAATGGGGTGAGAGAGGCTCGAACTCTCGACCTCAGGATCACTCAAAGCTATGAGACCTACGCGCTAGCCAACTGCGCCACCACCCCTTGATTTGAGATGTTTAATTTAGTTATTTATATTATACTTACGTTTTTATATATTTTCGATCTTCATAATAATTTAGTTATATGATGAAACATGGAGTTAAAAAATCAAATTTTAATTAAAATTTCAATATTTGTGATGCACAATTTACACCTAGTAATTTTTATGGATAATTTAACGTATAAATAAACAATCTTAATTATGATTAAACACTTTTATAGTTAGGCTTTGATTTTGAGTCCAATTTTAACACTATCATTTAGGACCATATATTCACAACACCTCCCCTCGTATATTCTTTACACTTTCCCTTTATATGTATCAAAAAATTATCTTTTCTCTACTTTTTTTCATATTTTTTTACCAAAACAAGCTCTGTATTGTGTTTTAAACGTATTATATATTTCGTATTATAATTTTATTATAAATTTCATAACAAGGTTTCTCTGTAATATTTTTGACAGCTTAAAATTAATTTTCATTACGTATAACAAATATATTAGGGAAAGATAAGAAAACATTTTTATCAAAAAAAATAAAACGTTGATGCAAAGAGCGAAATGGCATTGGTCTTTCATTTGTCGGTCAAAACTTTGGGCCAAGGCCCAATTTTGTCGGGTCTTAATAGCTCCATTTATCGCCGTTTTAGAAACAAAAATATACTTTGGTGGATTCAGTTATTTTCTGTGTCTTGAATATTTCGATATAGTTTGAGTGCGAAAAAGATGGAAGAAGATGATGGCATACGAGACGACACTGTCACTCATTCGCCCACCAATTCGCAACAAACAGGCAATTAATTTCGCCATTTTGACGTTTTGCAGCTTTTCCCTTTTCATTTTCATTCTTCTTCGCTCTACCTTCAACTGAAAAAGCAAACGTTCGAGTTATTAATTATCAATTGGGGACTTTCGATTTTTTTTTTAATAATTATGTCTGTTCATTTTTTCTTTTCTTTAGAATAGGTTTAGTTTTTAATAATAATGTCAAATAAACAGATTATTTGTGAACACTTATGGCTTGTTTTACCTTAGCTTGATACTTGCATTGAAAATTGATGAGAGGTGCTATGGAATTTCTGTGATTCAAGACCAGATACTTGCATGCAATGAATAGTTTAGGCAGATGCTTTTTTGTTTAATGAGAAGTCATCACTGCTAACCCTTATTATTGATGGGACTCGGGTTTAGAAGATGACACTTTGCCCTAAAAAATGGTTTTCTTCAAATAATTTTGAAGACATTTATGCACACTAGTCTATAAATCAAACTAGCTGGTCCAGTCCAGTAAATTTTCAAATTGTGTGCTTGGCATGTATTGAGGCTTTAGGTTAATCAGTCAAAGTTTTCTAATCGTATCCTAGTTTGCATTTTTTTTTCCCATCTGCTTTGAAGTTTTTATCATGCTTATTTAAGTCAGGTCATTCAATGCGGTATTTATGAACGTATACATATTTTGTAATTGATACTCATGCCTTTAAATTCTTTTTTCTCCAATAAATTGCATGGTGTTTGTAGATGTTGCATTTATCGGTGTAGTTTATTGTTTGGTTTAAAAATGTGTTCTGAGCACTAGGATTGAGAATATGCATGTTTGTTCGATGCAATAGGTTTAGACCTCAATGCCGCCTTTATAGTCATTCATCTGGTAGATTATAGCCTGAAAGTTTATCTTTCTTACTATTAGTAACTACCAGCAGCATCTGCAGCATGTAACCTAGCATTAAGCTAACCGATCATTTTTCTTTATGTAATTTAAATACCAGTTTCTGATGATGACGAAATAGACTACACGACCAAACCAGAGTTTTATGATCCAGATCTTGATGATAAGAATGAACAGTGGATTGATAGAAAGAGACAAGGACGTGTATCTGATGCTGTGCTTAGCTGCCCTGGTTGTTTCACCACCCTCTGCCTAGAATGTCAAAGGTACACAACTGGGTTACTGTTTTGCTTTCTTGGCCATATGTATATATTTTTACTTAAACTAACATTGTATTTATTCATAAGGAATGACTATATTGGTAGATTGGACAGATGATTTATTTTCATTCAGGACTAGGAGGTTCTTTATATAATAGCATGTGTACGAAGTACAGTGCAAACTCTATAAAGTGTACTTGTGTTATGTGATAATCCGAGACAATAAGAACAACTATACACGCTGTTTAGAAATGATCATTTAACATACGGAAAATTTTCTTCTTATAAGAGAGTGGAAAAAGAAAATATCCGTTGCTGATAAAAACGAGACACTAATATATTTCGATGCTGTAAACATTTTTCAAAATGTCTTGATACTCTGGCTACTGGGTTTCTAAACAGGGAAATGCCTTTTTCTTTTTGTGGAAAAATTGAAGTGATCATAGAAACTTTATTTTGCAGAAACTAACATTTTAGTGGGAGAAAGTAGTTCTGCTTCTTAAAGATGAGTTTTTTGAAAATAAGTTCAAGAATTTTATAGTGCTACCACTCTATGTATCCTATCCACTGAGCTATTCAATTTTAGGTTCTATTCAACTTTTAGTTTGGCATCTTCTTCCGGTTAACAACTGTATCCATGAGCTGTTATCAATTAGCAGCATTACTCATGGATCACTATTATATTTTGGCAGATGTTGTGCAACTGCAATAGCTACTGATATACATTTCAAACAGCATAAAATTTCATGAGATCCTATGTTTCTCTGCTAAATAATTCTGATTCCTTTTTAACTCATGAATCAATTCACCGAAAAATTTATTGTAGAAAGGACACAAGAATTAGAGTTTGCTTTTAGAACAGAATTATCTTTGTAATAGGTGTCCTATCCAACTAAATAATATAGTTTGATACATTATTAGCTGATTGTAAATTAACAAACAGTCAGAGGTATTTTGGAGAGGTCAAGAGTTTCTGCAGTCCTGGTTTTTATATATTATATATTCTTGTTCACTTGAGATATTTTTCTCTGAAATCAATAAATAAGTGCTGATTTTACTCGTGGGAATTTTTGTTCGTAACTGGTTTGACAACCAGTCGGTTATGACTTCTGATTTGAGTGATTGACCTTCATTTGTTTCTTGCAGGCATGAAAAATATCTGACCCAGTACAGGGCAGTGTTTGTTGTAAACTGCAAAATTGGGAATGACAAGTTTTCGAAGCAAAATACTTCAAGATCAAGAAAAAGAAATAGAGGGAGTGAAAGATTTGATAGAAATGATACTACTTCAACTAATATTGAAACATTCAAGCAAGTTTGCTGTTCTGTTTGCTTGACAGAGGTTGGTGTGATTGACCAAGACGAGATTTATCATTTCTACAATGTTCTACCGAGTGAATCCTGACTTATTCGGATGTATCTGTCCAGTACTGGCCTTCTCTGAATCTCACTACCTAACAAATTCCAACTCAGAACTAGTTGATCTCAGAATCTCCATGCTTTACATCCATGAAGACATAATTCCTCCATTTCCAATATTTCTCCCCCGGAAGCATATCTTTGAGGTAACCGTCACTGGAGGAAGAAACTATATGTGTGGCTAAAACCGTGGATGTAGAGATATTGCCTAAAAGTAAAAAATTAACATATTTGGAAATCCTGAATGTTTTATTCAATACCATGTCACATCCTGTATGAAAGTCTTCGTTTAAAATGTAATCTATCCAAAGTCTTCATCATCTCAATTTAGGTAACTTTGACAGTCTGAATCCAATTTGTTGTGTATTCTAGATTCTTCTAATGGTGACTTTCAATTTCCTTCCTACCGCTACGTAGATCCTGCCGCCAACTTTGACTTGGTTTCACCAAATTCATCAATATGTAAAGAACTATAGATTTGTTTAAAACTGGCCACTAACGAAAGAAAGCCCAGCTTTTGTCCATTATCAGAACGTATATCGCCGATAACGTTCGGAGTACATAGATGTTGGGGAAGTCTTTAAATGTAAGTGATGTTGTCAACTAAAAAGGATTTTTTTTTTCTCTAACATATTCCGTAATGGTGCTATGTTAGACCTGATACAATTATTTTTCTTTTTCTTTTTTTTTTTATTAAGTGTTGAATTGTATCGAAATAAAAAAATATAGAAATAGGATTATGATCCAATATTTTAATGTGCTAGCATGAATGTTCCATTATTTCAAGCAGAGAAGTGGGAGTATGCAAATAAAAAAAGGGCGGATCAAATCCTTGGCATAATTATCAATCGCTCCTTTTGAGTTTCTTTCACTAAAAAACAAACCGTAGTGGGTATGAAACACATTATGTATACATTGATATCAATAATTTGGCCATTTAGTATCAATATATTACGGAATAGGCAAGAGACAGCGCATGAAAAATAGCTATTTAAGATATGGAATATATGTCCGTGTGCACTAGATATTGCATTTATTTTAATTTAATATCATGCCCTCTTTTTTTATTATTTGTTAATTATTTATTATTTAAACATATTTCCAAACCACTACTTTGTGTACCTTGAAAGGAAAATATTGCATGATGTATCACAACTGTGTGCACTCTTTTTGTCATAATTTCAGTTAACTTCGTATCAGTTCCTGCATGATATCTGAATATTTAAGAAGTTACACAGATACAAAAACGTATAATTCAAATGTTAAAGTCATTATTTTGAGGGTATTTTTCTTAATCTAACATTTCTAACCTCAGTTGAATAAGGTGAAAAAAATGTTACAACAACCAATATTAACTTAAATTTTGAACATGTTTACTATTTTATTAATTTAATACTTAAAAATGTAAAAAAATAATAGTGATTATTAAATTAATACTACTTCTGAACATTTTTCTTTAAATTAAGAAGACATATATAATACTATTTTTAATCCAAAAATTTGAGATTATATGTTTATGATTTTTTTGTCATAGGTATTTTATTTTACAGAGCCAGTTTTTTCAAAATTTGAATAATTTCTTTAGAAAATATTTGAACATGAAACTTAATTTCCGAAAATGGTTGTGTAGGTTGACCAAAAAATGGCTATCCATCGACATTATATAAAGAGGTTTAGCCTGCGAAATAGCGCATCACTTACGAGTCATTCGTGTACTTAAAACAACAAAATAAAACAAAGGAGTACTTATCTAATAATATTATAATATACCATTCTAATTCTAATACGATATATAGCGTTTGATTTCTGTTTTTATTTTTTTATTTTTTTCTCTACCAACCCCAGCGAATGGTGCAAGTGAAATCCACATGTGTGTTGAATAGTAGTTTACACGATATTTGGTATACAAAGATTTTTTAATCCAAATATATATACATGAATTTTTATATACACTTCATGTTTGTGAAATTTAAAATAGTGTAGTTAGTGATTAGCAACATTTGACTGTGTTTTGAGTGAGTGAACGAGATTATTCTAAGGAGATACACAATGTTTATCTCTCTCTTCAAATTATATATATATATATATATATATATATATATATATATATATTTTTTTTTTTTACAAATTCATCAACTAAATCTGTTATTGTTTTATCAATATTTGAAAATATGTATTTAATATATTTAAAATTTAACGTAATCCGTATTTTACTTTAAAATATGTTTTCTAAGTGTTTGCAAAATATGATATTTATTAAAATATTCTTTTTATAAAATATTTCATGTTAGTCTAAACTTTCTATTTTACATTAATTAGTTTCTAATTTTATTAAAATATTATTTACGTGACACATTGAATTCTTCTTTATAAAATATATTGTTTACTTGTATTTTTTTATATTAATTTAATTATTGTAAAATAAAAATATATATTTTTTCTTCTAATTTTTTAATTTCATTAAAGTAAATGAGAGTGACGGTGATAGTGGGATAAAAAAAATATAAAGTTCCAATAACTCACAATTTTAAGATTTTTACATTCTCAAAACACGTTAATCACTTAAAAAAAATAAATAGATTAATTAGTATATAATCTTATAGAATTCACACAATGTCTCAAATCATATTTTAAAAAATAATATTAGTTTTCTACTTTTTAATTTATAGTTTTTATCAATTGTAGAATTATACTGAATCCTCTTATAAATACGGTGATGTATAGGTTTAGGTATCAAACATGATAATAAAAAGAATATTAAGATGCTTCTTACATCACACTGAATTAAATTAACTTGACACAGTATAATTGTAATTGTAGAAAGTTTAATTTTATGAAAAAACATAATTAATTATAATTACATATTTTAAATTTTGTGAATATATTTTTCAAAATTTTTGAATAATACGTAATAATTATTTTCATATATATATATATATATATATATATATATATTATTAGATGATATTTTAAATTTATATATGGCACTTTATTATCCAACAATTATTTATTTATAAAACTAATTTTACCTAATAGTGATTATTAAATTCTAACTGAGAAATTAATTATATTTTTTTTATAATTATTATAGAAAAGTAATTGTTATCATTTAAATCATTTAACTTCTCCAGGGATGGGTCCTAACTTTTTCTTCTCTTTTTCTCTTACGTACTGTTTGGTGTATGACTAGAATAGTCGTATGACTAGAATAGTCTGAAGTTCCATGTTGAGGGTTGCAAGCTGGAAAAGGAAAGTACCCCACAATTTTCTTCCATTCCCTCAAAATACTTTCCAATGAATCACTCATCACCACAATCTTAACACAAGATTATTATTATTATTCATGCAACCTAACAATGCCAACTACTACAACACTAATTCAAACTCACTCTTTTTTATTCTTATTATTATTCATATACTGAAAATAATTTTAAACTAAAATGGTATTAATGACTAATTATGAAAATATATTTATTAAATAAAAAAATGTTGGTATGATTATAATGGGAAATGAAAATTCAGCCCATTTGTGTGAGAAGGGCCTTCGCGTAAAAGCCCAAACCGAGAGACAACATTTGCAATGCATGTTTCACGCCGAATATTAATTAATTAATACCGAAAATTAATAGTTTGGATATATCTTCGTATGAGAGCCACGTGGCAAGAGAAGATTGGATAATGAAGATATTACAGCTAGCTCCAGATTACCCGAAACTTCCACTCTGATAACGAAAGTACCTAATGTAAATCATTTCATTACTTACTCTTTTTTTTTTTAATATTAAACATTTTATGTTTTTAAATTATTGAACAAGAACGTTTTAAAATGATCATTCGAGTAGAAATTGCAGGAAGTCAATAACATTGCATATTTTTTGAAAAAAAGAAAATAATTCTAATAATAAAAACAATAATAATAAACGTATAATTTGATTAAAAATGAACAGAGAATGAGAAGCATAGTATACCTAAAGTAAAGAAAAAAAAAATGAAAAACAAAGGTAGGTGGGACCCATTCCGTCCTCTTCTCTGGGTACCCTATAGTCAGGTTTAACAGAGCGTGTCCCATTTCTTAAATACTGAAAGTAATAAACGCTGCAGAAAGGGACAAAGGCTTCCTTTGATCTTAAGAATAAATAAACAGAAACAAAAACTGGGGTAAATAAAATAAGACTGTAGTAATAATAATAATTTGATTGGAAGGGTATATTGATCTGTGTAATTAAGAAAATGAAGAAAAAATGGTATAGAAAAAAAGAATGAGGAAAGGGAAAGAGGTGGTGAAAAGGAAGGGTTGTGAGGGGGGGTGTGAGGGAAGGCGCGTGAGAAAGAGAGAGGGAGAGGAGTGGAGCCCAGCACCCATGTGCCCTCCTCCTGTCTCCACCAGCTCCTGCCGCTCAATCATTAGAGGGCTGTTCCCCTTCTTCCTTCTTTCAATCTTCACTTTCATCTTCAACTCATTCATTCAAAAACACTCACTGAAATCTCATCTTCATTCTCATTCCACTCTCAAACACCATCCAATTAGTATAACACCCACACATGTCAACCTCTGACGGCACCACTAACGGCGTCACAAACGCCTCAATCATTGACCCGCAGCGCCAGCAGCCCCAGGCGTTGGCCGTCAAGAAGCCTCCGTCCAAGGACCGCCACAGCAAGGTCGACGGCCGTGGCCGACGCATACGCATGCCCATCATCTGCGCGGCCCGCGTCTTCCAGCTCACGCGCGAGCTCGGCCACAAGTCCGACGGCCAGACCATCGAGTGGCTCCTCCGCCAGGCTGAGCCTTCCATCATCGCCGCCACCGGCACCGGTACCACCCCAGCCAGCTTCTCCTCCGTCTCTCTCTCTGTCCGCGCCGCCAACTCCGCATCCCTCTCCTCCCCTTCCTCCGCCTCCGACCACAAGCCTCAGCTCCTCGCGCCAACGCCCTTCATCCTCGGTAAGCGCATACGCACCGACGATGAATCTTCCAAGGACGACGCCGTTTCCGTGGGGCCCTCCCTCGTGGGCCCCTCTACCCCTCCCGGACTGTGGGCCCTCCCGGCCCGGCCCGATTTCGGACAAATTTGGAGCTTTGCCGCAGCCGCTCCCGAAATGGTCGTGCAGCCCGCGGCCGTGTCGGTGTCGCAGCAGCAGGCGTCGCTCTTTGCACATCACCAGCGTCAGCAGCAGCAGGCCATAGGAGAAGCGTCGGCGGCGAGGGTGGGGAATTACCTTCCCGGACATCTGAATTTGCTGGCTTCATTGTCCGGTGGACCTGGGAATTCTGGTCGGAGAGATGACGAGCATCGTTGATTGGGTAACAGTGGATGGTGGAAGAAGGTGGTGGTGTTTTTTTTCGTATATATATAATCTCGTGTTGTGGCTGTTGCTTTGTTGTGTGTGGGGAAGCAGGAGATTCTTAGGGTTAGGTTTTTTCTTAGTTTTGAGTGGAGAAGTCCATCGATTAAGAAATTATTCAATTAGGGTTTTATTTTACTTCCTGCTTCTGGTTTGGAAAGTTAACTAGGTTCTTAGAAAGTTGGATAATTGTTTTAGATTCTGGGGCTTTTGTTGGAGGAGAGGGGAGGAGAAAATGAGAATGTGATGGAGTGATAATTTACCGTGTTGAATTGTGATGCTGAGAAATTTGTAATGTTTTGTGGTGGTATAGAGAGTTGTTCAAGTTGAAGAGGATTGTTGCTTCTGTTTCACTTTCATATTGGGTTTTGAGTTTTGACTGGTCTACAAGTTGGATGGTGGTTGCAGTTGAGGTAATTATTGGTGCTTGCAAGCTTGTTTCTGAGGTGAGTGGATTGTGTTTTGAAAGTTCAACTGTCACTCCCAGATTGTTGGAGTACCCTACTTTACATTCCAACATGGGTTGAGAATGCGAATTCATGTCTCTTGGCTGCTGTTGGGGCATGTTTTGAGGTTAGTTTAAGGTGGTAATGTTGTGAATTTGGTGCAGCTGGTGGTGAGTTATGCTCTCTGTCTCTATCTCTATCTCCTCCACTTTCACGCCCCTTGATGGTCTTTGTTGTTTTCAGAGGTGACTGGTGTGTGAAAGATAAAAAAAGAAGAAGAAAAAAAAAGCTCTGGTTGTACTCCGTATGACTTCTGTTTTGAGAACTTTATCTTCAATTCTTAGCCATTTCTTAGATTGATCAGCGTGAGAATAATGTTTTCTTGTATGTAAGTGGATTGTTTTGGGGTGCCAGTGATGTGAATAAAAACCCATCTGTTTCTTTCTTTACCTCTTTCCTTCACTTGTCACTTTCCTTGTTTCGATGTATTCGGTAACTCCTTTTGCTGCATGACGTTTCAAGTTTGAATCCTTATTTGATTCAGTGTGCTTTTTCTGTTCTTAAATTGCAGCGAAATTGACCCCTCTTTTTTCTTTTTCTTTTGAATGTGGTGTGGCCTAGCTACTACTATCACTACTACGGAAGTAAATTCATTTGGGTGTTGTGAAGCCCACTGACCACCATGCTTGATTTCGTTGGAGTATCTTTGGTTCTCTGCTAGTTTTTGTAATTTCCACGGTACTCTTTCTGGGAACTTGTACTCTGGCTATTTCTGTATTTAAGGAAAGATAAGGTTAGGTACAGCCTGTATTCAAGTCTTGAAATAAAGATCTACTCACATAGGTGTTATGGTAACTGTTTTTTATGTTTTTCACCTTTGGTTAAAACAAAAGATAGTGTTGGTGCATTTGATGCAACAGTCAATCTGGGCTTCTTACTGATACACTACTATATATGTATAAAAAAAAAACTCATATTTGGCTGATGTGTGTATCTCAATAATGGCATATTAAAACTGGTTGTTATGTCTTTGACTTTTATTGCCACACCCTTGCAAACTACCATGTGCTTCTGCACCCTGGCTTATCTGCCTCACATTACAAATTTATCACAATGCTGAGAGCTAGCTGAAGTGGCAAAAGGATCACCTGAAGCATCCATCTCCTCCTCTCTGTCTTCAACTAATTTGGGGATTATCTTCCAACTTTTTATTTTATTTATAACATTCCTCACATATTTGGGGCACACTTCAAACCAAAATGGACCTGCATAAATTTTATTTATAAGATGCCTCACATATTGACAAGCCATTTAGGGCATGCAGCTATAAGATGGAAAATAAATTATTTAGGGCTAGGGCCTGGTCAAGTGGAATTTCTGAAAATGGGAAATATAATTTTCCTTTAAAAAAACAAATATAATTTTTAGTCAATAATTATAATCTAAATACTTTTGTCAAAGCATAGAAATCATTGAAATTCTTTTTGTTATACACGAACAAAAATTGAATGTATTAGTTAGTTTTTCTCTCTAATACCGAAACTAACACTATGTGACATGATTATGTCAATGTTTGTTGTGTACTAATTATGTCAGGCTTTGCAAGTACATAACAAGATAGTACTACAAAACAAGACTTGTTGATCATGAATTATCTTCCACATATACATTGAAATTATTTTTTGGAAACATGGTTAAGAATAGAATTTTGATGAATAATGTATCATTTTAGGATGAACAGGAAAGAATTTGAAATGTGATATTGTAATGAGAGAGAAAGAAAGATTGAAGGAAGAGGAAAGGATTTGTCTCCAAGTTCCGAAGTGGAGTATAGTGATGATTTTGTTGATGTTGTACTTTTGTATGCATGGATTATTGGTGGGGTTTTCAAATTTAGCGATGCCAACATGTTTTTTTAATTATTACTAAACAGAAGGGTCAGTTCCCAATAATTGATGGGTCCCTAATATTAAATGTCGCGGTGAAACAAGTTAAAAACCGTGTTATGATTTCGGGACCATATTTAAACCCTCCTATGATGGACTTTTTGAACTTACTTGCGAGTTCATTCTGGACCCACATTCTTTTGTTTAGGGCCGCTTACTTGGGTTACGTAATTCCTGCAACCAACTTCAACACCCTGTCTTGTGGGCCGTATCCAAATCCACTTTCTATTTCCCCACTCGTTGGGTGTCATTTTTTTAGAGACATCTCAAAAGCAAAACTTATTCAGCTCATTGACCCAATAAATATAAAAATAAAAATACGAAGCCACTGGTTAATTAATTGGGTTGGGGTGTGCGTTCAGTTGAGGAGGGTGCTGCGAATTGCGATCGCAATCGAATCGAATCGAATCGACTAGAAGGAGTTAGTTGCATTGGGAGGGTTTTGTGTTTGATTTATTATTAAACCTTTTTGAGAGAGAGAATCGGATGGGTTCGTGGAAGAGTGGGTCGATGGGTTTGGAGAGGATGAGTGTGGACCAGTTGAAGGCGGTGAAAGAACAAACCGATCTGGAGGTGAATCTTCTGCAAGACAGTCTCAGCAACATTCGCAGCGCCACCACTCGCCTCGAGATCGCTTCCTCCGCCCTCAATGACCTCTCCCTCCGTCCTCCCGCCAACCAAATTCTCGTCCCCCTCACCGCCTCCCTCTACGTTCCCGCCGCTCTCCACGACTCCACCCATGTCTTGATCGACGTCGGCACCGGCTACTTCATCGAGGTCAAACCTTACGCTTATTCGTATATCACTTTTAGGTTTTATGTATTGCGTTTAGGTTTTTTGTATTGCACTTAGGTTTTTTTATGTGTTGCACTTAGATTTTATGTATCGCATTTAGGTTTATTCGATTTAGGTTTTGTATGTCGCATTTAGGTTTTATGAATTGGAGATAGCTTTGTCCCCCTTATTCGTATATCATTGATTGTTGTTTTTACGTTCGCTGCGGAGACAGAAAACCATGGATGAAGGAAAAGATTATTGCGAGCGCAAAATCAACTTGCTCAAGTCAAACTTTGATCAACTTGTTGAGGTACTTTTCCTCTTACGCGTCTTTTTCCGAGAAATCTTTTGTGTCCCTGTGCACTTCTTGTCATGAATTGTTATTAAAATCTATTGCCATTTTTTTACCCTCTCTGAAAACTATATGTTGTAAATAGTCACTCCTTGCAATAGTAGAATGAAAGCTTATAGGGTTCTGTTTTTGGGGCCTCATCGAGGTTTTGCAATTTAGCACTTCTTTGAATAAACACTGGGGCAGTGTTTCAAATGTGAAAAGCCTTTCAATGGCTATATTCATAATCTAATTTGTAGAAATCTTTTATATTAACTTCTTCAAAATTTGATTTGTAACTTATGTATAAGTTAATTTTAGCTTATAGAATGTTTTTTTCCATTTTTTTTTCTTCTCTTATAAGTATTTATGAAAAGGTTTATCCAGAAACCTTGAAGCAACTCTTGTGTGACTTGTGTTGAGTTGAGAATTTTGTTTTAGGATTAAGTGAAAGTTAGCTTTATTTATGAACTTGTTTTACTGTGTTCAAATACAACTTGAGAGTAGTTGCTAGCAACACTCTTCTCCTAACACACTATAATACTGGCTGCAATTTATCATAACCTACAAAATTATTAGAGAATCATTAAATAATACGTGAGACCCAATTTTGTTGTAATTTTCAAAAAGTTTAAATCAATGAGAGATAAGCTGTTCAAAAGAGCGCGTGGCTAGCATTTCTCTGCAACATAAACTGTTGTCATCTTGTATTGCATGTGGTTATTATATTTTGGAGTGTGATTGCCTAAGATAGATTTTGTTTAATAGGGGGGTCATGGTGACTCCTGGACACACTATGATGTAGCAGATTTCCTGCAAAACGTAATAACATCTGGTGATGCCCTACGACGGCCACTGTATGGTGAAAACCACGGGTATGGATATGATGGAAAAGGCACCAGTTATTCTTTTAGAAAGAGAGAGAGAGAGAGAGAGAGAGAGAGAGAGAGAGACTTGAAGAGTCCCTGATTGTCCAGAGATCATCAACGAACATTCAGCTTGTGTTTTGCTAAACCAAATCCAACATTGGAGAGGCATTTTACTGAATACCTCCTGACAAATCCAGTGACTATCTCATCTCAGGCAAACAACTGATATGGTTCTCTCCTATGATGCACGGATATATTGGAAAGGTCAAGGTATCCGTATCGGATACTGATTCACTCCGATACTTAAAAAATTCGTATCGAATAAAAAAATCCAAACAAAAATAAAAACAGAATAACAAATATTTTTTTGTTATTATTGTTAAATTAATCAAAACAGATTTGAATTATTTAAATATTTATCAAAACAGATTTTTAATTATAGATATTACAGCGAAGAATGGATTTAAGAGACTCCAAATAGAATCTCACCACGGGAGGATGAAGAAATTTCTAGGGAGAGAAATAAGTGTTTGAAAAAACTTTTTACAACTAGTGAGGATAGAAGAAATATTGCACTTGAGTATGCTAACTTTTCATCAAAGTCATATACTTTTGTTTCTTTTGACTCAATAGAAGATAGGTGGACATTGGATTTCAAATCTTGGTTGGTGATGCATGGACCCGGTGCCCCTCTACGTTAATAGTTAGCATTGAAGCTTCTTGTACAACCTTGTTCGCCATCTTGTTGTGAAAGAAATTGGAATATTTATTCTTTCATTCACTCATTGAAAAGAAATAAGTTGAATCCTAAAAGAGCAAAATACTTGGTTTATGTGCATACTAATTTACGATTTCTGGCTAGGCAAAATGAAGAATATAACCAAGGGAACTCTAAAATGTGGGACATTAGTGGAGATGCATAGGATGACTTTGACGATGTTGAAAACCTTAGAGTGACAACATTATCTCTTGATGAACCAAATATGGAAGCTGTTTTATTTACTGATGATGCTCAAGGAGGAGATGAAATTGATGCTATTTCTATTTCTAAAAAATAAGTAGTTATTGTTAACTTTTATTTTACATTTAAATTTTTTTTAAGTCATATATACATTTAATAATATATTTAATGTGTTCAATTTAAATAATATTTAATAATTATTTTTTTATGAATTATATATATATATATATATATATATATATATACACACACACACACACACACATGTATCTTACTCGTATCTTATATTTTTTAATATAAGACGAATTTCCGCATCGTATCTGTGCATCACAGGTTCTCTCATATAACCCCTCTGTTCACGAGTCTCTTTTATTTAGTTTTTTTTTCTTCCAAATTTTGTTTCTCTTATTTATTTCATCTTTATTTCCGTTTCTGATCTCTTTATATATCTGAACTGATCAAATTTCTCTGTTTTCCTCTGTTTTTAGTTTATCTCTATTCCTCCAAACTAATGCTATGAGGCTTGTGATATTTTTTGGCACAAGTTTCTGGGTTGTGTACTTTTGGATTAATTTTACATCTTACATGTTTGTTTTTTTGCTTGTCTATAATTTTTATTTATTATAGTTGTAACGCTTCTTCCATACGCTGGAATTTGATCAACCATATTCTCACAGCAGTTTTTAGGTTGCTGCCACAATTTTTTTCTTAATCAAACCTTCCATGCATGCGCCCACAATTTTTTAAACAGATGCTTGCCATACTGTTGTGTGTATGTACACACACATATAATATTCTACAGTAATTTTTAGTATACTTCTGGGTGTGTTTTATTATATCTACCGTTCTTCCGCTACAGGTAGCAACACCATCTACCATTTTTATTGCAGGTTTCTTACTTGCTTCCATTATCTGCTATCTGCAATTATCAACAATAAACGACAATATTTAAAAATAATAATTTGCCCTGAAAAGTGTTTTTCTTATAAAACGAAACATTTTTTCTCTCCCCCCACCCCCCACGTGTTCAAGTCAATTACTTTTTCACATTGCTTTTTGAAATGAGTTTAAGATGAATTCTCATATCACTTTTTACCTTATCCAAAAGAAAATTGAATTTGTACAAATCTCACTGCAGATTGCATCCAAAAAGAAAAACGTGGCAGATGAAGTTGGAGTTATTCTACAGGCTAAATTGAAGCAATTAGCCTCATCATCCTAAAAGTAGTTGATATATAATTCAATTGCTTCTTCCAAAGCATTGTACCGTAGAAAATCATCAATGTGATGTTATATGCTATTTATACCTTTTCTATTGAAATTTCCCTTTGGTTAACACCATCAAATTTGGTTTTTTACTATTGGATGTGTATGTAGAAAATGGAGTCAAGCAATGACAATTTTTAGGAATTTAATATTGGTGTGTCAATTGCATAGTCTCTATTATAGAGTAGGTTGTTGCAGTCCCTGTTCTTTGTTTCAATGGTTTTTCACCCATTCTGTTCAAGATTACTGCGCTGGGGGAGGGAGAGAAGGTTTCCTGTGTTCGTCTGGGGAAAAAGAGAATTCTTTCCTGCGTACTGATGAAATTAACAGGGGGTGATAGTTTCAGAGTACTGATTTGATAAATAAACGTGGTTAAGATAAATACACTGTTCTATAGTCTTGCATGGTTTGATTTTGGTCCTGTATTCCTATGAAAATTTAACGCTCTGTAGGCATGCTTAAAGAAATCTTCTCTATATGCATTATAGAAAGACGAAGATTAACTTTTTTCATAAAATCTTTGAAGGAATGTTCGGTGAAATTTTTTCATAAACATTATTACAATTGATTTATGTATGAATTTAAAAAACAGATTTTGAATAATTTAGTTAATATAAAATATTGTCAAGAAATTTGTTTAAACTCATCTAAAGTCAATACTTATATAATATTAATGGGGATACATGAATTGAAATGTGTCTATATTTGTTTTATTACTAATTTATTTTAAAATATAATTAATTTTATTTCTTATAAGTATTAAAAAATACATAATTATTGTTTATTTCTATATTACCTCTCATTTGGTAAGAAGTAATAATATATTATGAACAATGACACCAATAGTAAGATTAATAGATTGATGATAAAAAAAGAGGGGAAGGGAGAAAGATAATAGGAAAAGAGTGAAATAGAAGAGAAGAGTGAAGGACGGGATAGAACAGGAGAGAAAAAGACGAGTGAGGGAAAAAAAAGCTGAATGCAAGAATAATAAACGGTACGGAATTTTCATGATTCTCCCTCTTTCCAGCAGCATATAAATTCTAATTTCATAAACGTCACAGTTCCATATGTAGTTTGATATAGAAAAGCCCTTAATTAATAAGCAAGGTGTTTGTTGTATAAAGAACACAATGTATTTGTAAACCTATCTTAATGTTCAGAAGGGTAGAATTTTATCCAAGCAAAAGAAACTCCGCCAAGGCTTTTGATTGGCTTAAGGTGAACCGACGGAAAGAAATATGATCTAAGATAGGCTATGAAATAACTTATACGTTCATCACTCTATCACAACTTTTAGATACTTTGCACAACAATTTGTCAAGAATACCCGATGATGAAGATCAAATCCAAATTATGGTTTGTCAACAAATGAAGATTCTGCAAGATCGATGGCACGAGCAAGGGCTGCGGCTTTGTTTTCGCACTCTCTTTGTTCATCAGCTGGATCACTGTCAGCTACGATTCCCGCTCCAGCCTGGAGGTGGGCAATCCATTCTCTGCGTTTGTTCATATGATCCTTGTAAGAGTACATTGTGTCATAACGAGTATTAGTAGGGAAAACTATGGTTCTCAGAGCAAGGGCTATGTCCATATCGCCATTAAAAGATATGCCTCCAAATCCCCCACTATATGGCCCCCGTCTTGCCACTTCCAACTCATCAATCAACTCCATGGCTTTCACCTGTTTTACAACAACCGTAATGACAACAATGTCGAGTGATTGTGGTTTCACATATTGTTTTGCGATAACTGCCACCGACCAACTCCACTTATTAAGACAAGTAATATCTGAACTGAATGCAAGTGCCTATTTTATATTAGAAACTACATCAGCAAGGAGAAAGGAGTCTGCTAATATTTACCTTCGGTGCTCCGCTAACTGTACCAACAGGTAAAGCAGCACGCAATGCATCCCAGCTTGTTAAGCTATCCAATAACTCCCCAGTGACCTGCAAAGACAGGTGTACTTTACCATCATCTGAGAAAGAGGTTCTGCACCAAATTCATTTCTACCAAACCAAACAGCAGAATAAAAGAAGAATCAAGTAAAACCGAAAGCCACTCTAGCTCACCGCCACTGATATGGACAAAAAAGAATTGGAGAGGATTAAAAAATGATTAGAATTTATAAAGATAATTTTGAAATATTTTTATAACACAAGTTTTCCAGAGTCTGTTTCCACAATATAATTCCTTCCTAATTTCTTTTGTGTTTCTTAATCTGGACTACTTCTATTTATATTACTTCTAACAATACAACTTTTTGTAATGGTTGTATCTCTATTTCAAGGATTATGTCCCTTGATTTTATACCCATTGAATGGGTTGTAACTGTTGGGTGTTTTGCATCCTTTGAGTGTTGTGTGCCTTGTTGGTGGTCTATATTGTTGCTTCTTTTGTTCTTATCAGCCCCCATATCATTCGTTTCTGAAAAAGAGAAAATTGCAAGATAAAAGGAAAATCACTGAAAGAATAGAAACTCTTAATCAGCGTATCAGGGGACAAACATTGAGCCTTTTAGGATTAGATGGACTGGACATAGCATTTCTAGTTTCGACTCTCAAAGTTCCAACTAAACATTCACTTTCCCAACCTCTAAGAAAGCTCAGACAGTTTATTCTTCAATTTGCTAAGAATGACCCGTAAAGAGAAATATTGAAGAGAGTAAAACATTAAAAATGTTAGATTTTCATGTGCAAACACTCACAAATCCGAATAATGTGTAAGATATTAAAGCCAAATAGAGAAACCTCTAAGAATGAGTATTACCTTCCAAAGTTCATATCGTCAGCAATGAAATTTGAATTGTGCTCATGTAAAACTCAAAGGATAAGAGTAATACTTTATATTGTCAACAAGTAAAATTTGAATTCCATTCGTGTAAAATTCAAAATATTGGAACTTACGGTTGAGCTTATGTGCATAACATGAGAATAACGCTCAATATTCATGAGCTTTTCAACTTGAACAGAACCGGGTTTGGAGACCTGCGTACTCATCTTGCATTAGAACGACATGGCTAAAAAATAAAAGAGATGGTTTACAGCAGCATGTACAATTTAGAAAAGGTGAAAAATAATTGTGATCACAAACTACCCAACTGCAAAGCAACTGTGAAATGCATATAAAGATGTGTTTAATAGAAACATAGCATAAATAAGGTTAGTGCTACGAAACATTGACTTCTTCAATAAGGTGCACGAGATTCAAATTTTGCATCACACATTTTAAAAAAAATACTGTCAATAGAGCCCCTTAATTCAAAGGATTACCTATTAGGACTGAATCCCGTGGGTGACAATAACCAATTATATTCAGTAAAAAAATGCGATTGGGGAGTTAGTAAGAATTGGTTGAATCAGCTCTCTTCAATACAGAGGATAGAATTACTCTGTTGTACTAATGTGTTGTGCTAGACCTCTATTTAGCATCACATTGATAACAAACAGTGCAGAAATTTATTTTTGAAAATATTAAGCACTATTATGATTTAATCATTTCTTCTCATATTCTAGTTCAATTTTATCAGAACCATTCTCCAAAATCCTATTGAATTGAGATATTCTTTTTTACATCTAGAATTAGATCAAGGGTTACCTGGGAACCTCAGTCTTAAAAATGCAAGACTTTGATCTATTTTAGGATAAAAAATAATAAGCCTGGAACTGAAAAAATTTACCTTTCCAACATCATTTCTCCCCAAATCAACTAACATTACGTGCTCTGCACATTGCTTTTCATCATTCAAAAGTTCATTCTCCAACATCCTATCTTCTTTGGATGTTTTTCCTCTTCTAACAGTACCAGCAAGGGGCCGGTTGGTGATCTTTTCCTGCCAAAAAGGATATTAAAAGCCTATTAATACTTGTTAGACCTGAAATGAATTTCATAAAATTAAACAGTCTAGTAAAATTTAAGAAACTTAAAAAGGGTAAATGACTAAGACAAGGCCAACGCTAAGCATATATTAACATTCTTGATATTGTGGAGGAAGAAAATTAGAACATAAAGGCATAGGAGTATTATTGCACCTTCTTCACCCGTGTAAGAATTTCTGGACTTGATGCAACCAAAATACTTCCTCTGGCCTGACAACAGTATATATATATATATATATATATATATATATATATGACAATATCAGGTTAAGTTTTGAATGCAAACTAACTAATAAAATGATAATGGCACAAGAAATTGCCAAACCTGTAAATAAGTCATATATGGACTAGGATTAACAATCCTCAATGCTCTGTAGACTTCAAATGGGTCTGCAAAAGTTCTCCGTTCAAAACGTTGACTTAGTACAATTTGAAAAATATCACCAGCCAGTATGTGCTCTTTAGCCCGCAATACCGCCCTCTTATATTCCTCATTTGTCATGTTTGACATCTCCAGTTTAGTACCAAAGAGATGAGTGTGTAACTTGATCGAACCTGCTGCCAGCTTTGGGCTGACATTGACAATTATAATTGTAGATATTGAAATTAAACTTAACCACCAAAAACTGACATCCTTTACCTTAATTTGAAATTCTAAGCCATTAAGAAACAAATTGGGGAAAACAGCATACTCACGTAATTATATCATGTACCCGAGATACTAGAGTTTCCAGCCTGTTCCTTCCATCGTTTAGGGCCTCCTCAGCAGAAGAATATCGATCTAACCGAACCCAATGAATCACGTATGCTTTCTGAATTGAACCAAATCTAAGAAATCACACACGCTTTTTGAGCCAATTAAGTCAAACAAAATAGAAATACTCTCCAGGACCAAAAGAGTGAGCATGAATAAAGTGATCAGCAGGATTTTCTTAGAAGCAACAATCACATTTTTACAGTAGATGATAAAACATAACAGTACCTTTTCAACATGATCAAACACAATTACATTATCATAAAGGCCCAGATGAATATCAGGAAGGTTTCTGTCATCTACTGGGGCATTAGAAAATGG